TAAGCAAGGTTTGTGTTGAATAAAAAAGTAAAATGAGAATTTTCTCCTCAGTTTTCAGAGGTACAAAAGTCCCCTTAGTGGCTGGGGGTTTTTAATTCCTAGAGAACTGTCTTTTCCCTTATGTCTATCACTTTTCTGATTACTGTATTTCAGGAAATACTATTAACCAAAATGTAATAGTATCATGCGGTCACATAAACTGAGTGAATACTTGAGCTTTTTACCATTTCAATGGCTTCATTTTAAAGTTTTCACAGATTTTATTTCTTGTTCTAGTACAAAACTTTGAGTCTAAGCACGTAGCAGGAATGACTGGAAGTTACCTTTATTTCCTATCAATATCTATTAACTATGCATTCTTTCAAGAATGCAGGAAATTGCTGGGAATGTCAACATGTTTGTAGTGAGTCTCTGTGTTAAAACATTTTCAGAAAGAAATTGCAGTTAGCAGAACTGATCCTTGATTCTGATTTTTTTTTTTTTTTTTTTTTTTTCCAGAATTATGTTAAACTTCCCTCACATACTGATAACCCAGTTATAAAATCTCATTGACTGTATCAGTTCTGGATATTTGGCTTGTATTAAGGGAATGGCTCCAAGGAAAATTAAAAGTATGTAAATTACCAGTGTTAAGTTATTTGAAATATTACTTAAGCCCTGCACAATGATGTAGTGCAGAGAAAAAAGCTCCCTGTCTTTTAGTGGTCTTGAAAGAGAATAGTTGGCTTTTCCAGGGAATTCTATGTATAGCCTGATTGCTCTCAAATAAGAACAGATACCCTGTCAATCAGCAAACCATATAGGCAGAGTGTGAGGCTAAATTTTTTACCAGTAGCAGAAATGGTCAAGCAGATGAAACCAATAGTATGCGGAGCTTAGAGGCTTTACAATTGCACTGTATGTCCATATGCTCCATGACTCAATTTTTGTGAAGAAGAGGGCTATGCTGTCTTTTCCACAGTTAATAAAGGCCGTAATTTGCGTTCTTATATTGTCAGAAAAGATGCATTGCACATGTTTAGGTGTGACAGAAGAGAGTGCTGAATTTTCAAGGAGAAGGCCAAAAGCTAGGGCTAAAGAGACAATTGTTGGCAAATGGCTGGAGTCTGAGGAATTCTTGGAAAAAAACGCAGCATAGCTGTGGGTTATGCTATCACAGAAAGAAAATATATAATTGATTTTTCCCCAGAGCTCCTCAGTTTGGTCTAGGACTGGGGATTAGGAGTCAGTTCTGGTTACAGGTACCATGGCACATGTCCCTCCCCAGAAATGTAAGTAACCTGGTGTACAACTGTCATAGTTTAAACACCAGCATCATGGACCTGGAAGTGGCCATGATGCCAAAACTACTGGAAATGCTGGGAAAAAGGTGACAACACAAGGAGCAGGCTGCAGGCCAGAGTAATTATTTGGTAGTCCATTGCAGGTGTCACAGATCCACAGTCACTGTGAATCTTAAATGCATCTGAAGTGAGTGCTGATGGTTGAAATAGACTGATGTGACAGTGTCTGGTTTTCCTTTCATGAATAGAAAGGAATTTTCCATTTCGTGTTTGTCAGTGTAAATAGGAGAATGCAAGGTGTAGGTGCTGTAAGTAGGTCCAAGTGATAGTAACAGAAGCATGTTCGTTATAAACCTTGCAATAAGTGAAATAAAAGAAATGCTACAGCAAATGAAATGACATTGTCCTAAGAAGTAGTACTGGATTCAGCAAAGGACAAGCAGCATTGCAGGGAGTAAGGATACTGTAGTAGCAATTGGGTCACCCTTTGTGTTGAAACTAATGATACACTAGATTCTTGCTAAGAAAATGTTGCCTGACATAACATGGAAGAAGAGGTCTGGGGAATTCGCTGGAATTTTAGTTCCAGAAAAGGAAAGGTATGACAAAACAGTGAAGATCAGTATGTCTGTTGCTATAAGGAGTTTGTTGGGATATTTTCCCACTGGAGGTATTCATGGAGTCTTGGTGATACCATGTCTAGCAGTAGTGTTAGCACAAGGAACTTTAACTGAAGCAGAGAGAAAAGGGGAAGTAATTTGAGCAGCCTCTCCTTGTGGAGGAAGGAACAAATTGGGGGAGTGGTAATACAGTACTGGACAGATAAGTACAAGAAAGCAGAGGGTAGACATAAGTACTAGGTGTGTCACCAGCCGTCAGTACAGTTAATGAATAAAGCTGCACATCTTACGAAGCTTTTTTTCTTTTGACTTAACTTGGATTTTTGAAAATTGATGGAGCAAATCTAGACAACAAAATGGTACTGGTGTGGACTCTGGTGACAAGGCGTTCTGATGGGAAAGCAGTGGGACAGCCATAGTCAGACAAACATGGGTGCTGGAGGATGTTAGCGATTCCTTAAACCAAAACTTTCTTTACTGCTGAAAGAACTAAACCAGAAGTATAAAGAGGCTTCAAAAAAGTAAGTTGTGAATATTTAATGTGACGAGGGCATAATTTTGTTGTCAGAGCATTCAAAGCTTTCAATTTTCCAAAGTCATAGTTTATTTTCTACTGTTAAAAATGTCCTAAAGATGGTAAAGCACGTAAATGAAGATAAAAGATAGTAAGTGTGAGAAATGGTCTCTAGATAAAACAGCGAAGCAGCTATTTATTCACGTTTTTGCAAAAACGGGTGTCCTGGCAAGTAGGCACACACAGCAAAGGCAGAACTTTGATTTGTATTTCCTACCCTGTTCCCTCCCTTGTTTCTTCATTGGTTGGGTACTCCAAGGTTTACAGCCTATCCAGCACATATAATCTACATGCTAACTGTCCCACTTCTGTTTACATCTTCCCTCACTCGATTTCGTACACCCCTTCCTCTTATTTGTCTCCTTTTATGGTTCAGTTTCATAACTCTCTGGCAGACATGTGGTATCTCAACTGACTGTTTAACTACAGAACCAGTTTGCACCAGCTTACTTTCACAGGTTGTACAGAGATGATAGCATTCTTTTTAACTACAGAGTGTGTCTGTCGCCCAAAGATGACATTGTCTTTAACTACAGAGTGTGCCTGTTTAAGTCATGGTATTTCAAGCCCTCTGTTTTGTTCCTTTAGTAACGTAGCCCCAGCCCAAATATTGCAAAGTCTTAATATTGCAAAGCCTTAATACTGCAAAGCCCCGTCCCTGATATGCGAAAACAACAATTTCTCTCGCAGTAAGGCACCTAAAAGCTGCCTGCTCCAGTAGTGAAAGCTAAGCAAAAGGGATTGCAGATGTTTAGAAAATAACAGGACGAACTTAATCTGACTATTTCTCACATTAGACTGCAATAGTATGTTCAGTTACCAGTGTGTAAATGCAGAATTATTGCCAGGTATTTGTGTTCAACCAGAAAAATTTGCCTGAGCCCTAAGGAAACAAAGCAGTTTCTTATGTATAAAAGACACTCCCATGAAAATCTCAAGGTTTCTCCTGTTATGCTATAATTCTCCTCATTTCCTGAATCACCTAATTGGTTCTGTATGTTCTTCCATCAGTACTAAATGCTTTCTGGCTTGGTCTCTAAAGCACTGTGCAATTCCACACTGAGCTGATTCCTTCCTACACACTGCTGCATGCCCTCCCTTTGCCCAAGGCTTTCAAATCTTAGAACACGTTTCTTTTATCCTTTCCTGTTTCTTAATTTCTGCAATGCAATGTAGCTTTTCAATCAACCAATGACTTCCTTTTCTTACCACCCCTGTTTTTTTTTTTTAAGAGTTAATTGCACAGCCAATTAAGTCATGATATGAAAGACTGTATTGCTTCTTTTATGTGTGCCTAAAAATGTGACACATCTGGGGCACTGCATGAAGCTCAAGACACAAGCTAAAACACAAGCATCCTAGGTTTTTAGTATTTATTTATGGTGCTTCCAAAAACTGTTGCTAACATATATACTCATTACCTGTTCGTTTGCTACACTAAAATTATACCTTTTTATTGTAAGCTATTTGGAGGATGCACCTTACTCTGCTGCTGGCTTGTACATGATAATACAACAAATAGATTTGCATACAGTAGTAAATAAATAATGGGCAACTGAATGCTGGGCTGCATCAAAAGCAGCATGGCCAGCAGGTCAAGGGAGGTAATTCTCCCTATTTATTCTGCTATCATGAGACCCCAGCTGCAGTGCTGCATCCAGTTCTGGGGCCCCCAGCATAAGAGGAATGTCGACTGATGGAGCATGTCCAGAGGAAGGCCATGATCAGGGGGCTGGAACACCTCTCCTACGAAGACAGGCTGGGAAAGCTGGGGTTGTTCAGGCCAGAGAAGAGGAGGCTTCGGGGAGACCTTAGAGCAGCTGCCAGTACCTAAAGGAGGCCTACTGGACATCTGGGGCAGGTAGTGACAGGACAAGAGGGAATGGCTTGAAAGAGGGGAGGTTTAGATTAGGCATTAGGAAGAAATTGTTCACTATGAGGGTGTTGAGGTGCTGGCACAGGTTGCCCAGAGAAGCTGTGGCTGCCCCATACCTGGCAGTGTTCAAGGCCAGGCTGGATGGGGCTTGGAGCACCCTGGTCTAGTGGAAGGTGTCTCTGCCTGTTGGCAGGGGTGTTGGGACTAGATGGTCTTCCAGGTCCCTTCCAACCCAAACTATTTGGTGTATGTGCTTTAGATGGGTGTATTCTCATACTATGTCATTAGACTGTCTCTCCAGTTGCCCACTTCCTGCTCTCTTGAGCAGGCAAGATGGAGAAAACTCCATCTTCCTAACAAAGGCACCTGCCTTGCACCTCTCATCACCACAAAAACCCGCCTAAAATCTCCCGAGGACGCAGAGTAATTACAGTATTTATGAAGTGACAACAAGTGCCACGGGTTTACTTTTAGCGTTACCTAAGAGACTCCATTTTAGTTCACATCTTCCCGTGCAGGACTTCTCTCTTTTGGAAGCATGACTGGAAAACACCAAGGAGGGCTGGGGCGAGGGCGGTGAAGCCTGGGGCGGCGGCGGCGGCGGCGGCGGCGGGAGGGCCGGGGCCCGCCTCCTCTGACAGGCGGGGCGGGGCCGTGTCATGCGGGCCGCAGCACCGGGAAGTGCGGAGCCGAGCCGGGAAGCAGGATGGTGGGCTGGGACTGGGCGCTGCTGTGCACCGCCGCGCTCCTTGTGGTGGCGGAGCTCGTCTGGGCGCCGGACCCGGTGAGCCTGGCGGCGGGAAGAGAGGGGGACGGCGCGGAGCGGAGGGGATAGCTCCCGGCTCTCTCCGGGGGGAGGAGGCGGCCGGGGCCGGGCGGTGTGAGGGCAGCCGGCCCCAGGCAGGAGGCCTTTAACTTCACGCGTGTGGGTTCGAGATAGAGCCTGGCTACCCTCACGGACTTTGTAACTTCTAAATGGCTCATCTGACAGCTTTGGTTGCGGTTACAAGTCGTGGCGTTTATAGGGTGTGTTTTACAAGTCCTTACTCATCCCCGCGTTCAATTTCATACACATCTGTAATGTGACTGTTGTAATATTACAGCAAAGCAGAGATATTCAGAAGGAAACTTAAGAAGGCCTTGCTAAAAGTGCATACACCTTTGAATCTGCTCAGTGTATTTGTTGTAGCTGTACCCAAGGTTAGAAGTGTGGAGCAGGTATGCTTGGGGTATCCTGGTTTGGTTTTGTTTTTATTTTAACTGAGTAGGTGAAATATTTAACTTTTGGTGGAATTGAGAGGTCAGGGGAGTGGGGAGTTACTTGGAACCTGGTGGCTTCCATCTCCCGCATGGAGATGGAACTGTTGTTGGATGGAACTGATGAAACTGCTGTTCTTGCTTCCTGATGTGTTTCGTTATTCCCAAAGCTTCAAAGCACTTTTTGATCTCTTCAGTTTCCCAATCTTCTCATCCTCTGGGAAGTGGACAGGTTTTTAAATATCTCTGGATCTCAAAATGCTCTTCTGCAACCTGTTTTTAAATACAGTTTATATTAGATACTTAAATATTCTGGGAACATACTACTTCCTGTATTCTTTTGTGTTTGCTATAAGACTTTTCCTAGCAAGTTATATTAATTTCAGTAAAATGAGTGTGGGTTTTGGGAGAGGGAGAACTGCAGGAAAGGCTCTGGAGGACTGTGAAGGTCTGGGTGACCAATCTTCCCTTAGTGCCCTGACTATACAGGATTTTCGTTAACCAGGAGCATGGAAGCTAAATGCCATGAATTACATCTCGGTGGTGCAGACAGTCAGTCCGTTTAGCTTTTGGTTAGGCCCATACTCAACTTCTTGTCCGAACTGCAGATTAAGTTGGCTTGGAACCCCATTTCTTCAGCGTTGCCAGAGTGCTCTGAACTTCCTTGTTCAGAAAGGTGCAGAGCAGTGGGACTGCTGCGACAGAGTGCTGCACTGGCATCGTCCTGTAGGGGAAGAGGAGCAGGGAGAAAAATTTATTAGGCCACAGAGTTCATAGACAGAAAGATGCTGCATGTAATGGATTACTTTGCCTGAAGGAGATTGAGTGCCATGTCCTTAAACTGTAGAACCTTATTTTGTAGCTCAAAGAGGTCTTTTTGTATTTATTTTTAAAAATGAAGATGGGAAACACTGAATATTCAGGAAGGGTGCTGGAGATGGTCCACCTCAGAAGTGTTTCTGAGGGTAATAAAGAAAGTGCTGGCATTCCTCAGACTGGGGGAGTACATTCCACCTATTTCATATTAATGAAATCAGGCTAAGTTTTAAAATATTAACTTGGCAGTCATTAAGCTCTGCATTAATTTTCTGTACTAGAGTTAATAACTGTCATCACTTGATATCCTTTTCCCAGGTTGCAATTAATCTTGGCAGTTTTCTGGCTGGTTTGGTTCCTCTTCTGGTCTACCTTTTTTTTTTTTTTTCTTTTTATACAATCAGTTGTAATAGAAATCATCTGTGCTACTTCCATTTTTGTATCTTGTTTCCATCTTTCCCCATACCGTGTTGTCTTTCTCTTCCACTGTGTTCTCTTTCTTTAAGTGTTTGGTCCTGTGCTGCCACACATTCATTTTTGTATGGTTACGTGCATGCAAATTTGAAAGAAAGAAAGAAAGAGGTTTTAATCGCCACTCAAGAATAGCTGTATTCCTCCTAGGCAGTTCAGTGCATGTTTGAAAAGCAAGTCTATAGTGATGACCTCCTGATTGGAGCCAGCTTCTGCTGGCTCCTTCTGGGACACCCGCTCTGGCTTGTCATGTTGGAAACTCAAGGCGATCCTCTCATCCTGGAAGGCTGCTCCTGCTTCTCAGACAGCATTTATTGTTCCTCTACCAGTGTCAAACCTCTGCGGAGGGGAGGACCTCGCTGACCGAAGAAGTAACTCCATAGCTGTTCATTTCAGGCCAGTGACAAAGTGCCTCGTGGCTTTTCTGTTGCTGTAAGGAAGTATTTTAGGTGTCTCTTTTAATCTTTAACTTGCAGGAGAAGTTTGCAGTCAGTCTTCAGCTGATTGCAGAAGGCAATGTTTTTTTGTTCACAACCAACCAAAACATTTCTAGTTTTCTGGTTGTCTTGACATCTTTTTAAATTACTGCTTATGTGCCAGCATATAGTAGTTTACTTAAGAAACTGTTAATAATATTGGCTTTCATCGGATATCACAATCAGTGCTAGCAGTTTTGGAAGGTATATGGTTTGGTTTGGAGATTCTTGGTTTCTTTAGCTTGCTTTATAAATAGACAGGTGAGAAGTCTAAAATCACTGACATGTAAAGAGGGAACATTTTCTCTGTATCTTTCCCATAACTCGTCCTTTAGCTGTTACTTTACCCACCTTTTTTGTGGCTTAGGTTGCAAAGGGCTCAGAAGATAAAAATAGCTACAAATACAAGATTAAAATCTCAGGAGTGACGTAACATTTGGCACGTGGAACACTGCTGAAAATCCTTTGAAATCAGTTTGCATGGTTGCTACTGTTTCCTCTGCATACACGTGGGCTATACAGACAGATCAACTGAACTTTCATCCACTGCAGATAATTTTTTGTTACAGGCTTTGTCTCTCAAGAAGCATGTTCTGACAGCAGGTATCTCGTGAAGGTCTAGATCTGTGCATCCGTTGCACTAGTATGTGTATGTAATGTCACTTTTTCTGATTGATTTTAGTATTGCAGGATGGAAAATTTCAGAAGACTGTTGCATTAGTACTGTTAAGCTTTTGCTTGGCTTTGCACAAAGACTGACTTTTGTTGCCTAATTAGTCATCTGATATCCACCCCCTATACTCCTTGTTTTGAAACTTCCTCATTTTGAAAATTAAATGGCCTCTTCTGTTTGACCTTTTGTTCCAGCTATGCAAAGGCTATAACTGCACCGCGGTGAGATCTAGGAAACACACATAGCTGCCGGTCCTATACCTTCGTCTTGTATGTAGGAGAACCAAAATTCATCCCATACTTTTTCTCAGCAGCTGGAAACAATACAAAAAGAGGACACACGATAGCACACAGAAACCAGTCCCACTTTCAAATTCCTGTTTCCACTTGTAACAAATTATGCCAGTGTTTAAAGCTTGTGACATTGTGTAAGGCATTGTGTTTTCAAGATTAATGCATTAAAAACAGATAATGTGATGAGCCCAAAGAGAACATGGACATTAGTTAGCTTTTTTGTCCAGATAGATACATAGCTACTAAACATCTTGTGTCAGTTTTTAATGGAGCCAGAGTGCATTATAAGGACACATTAGTAATATAATTAGTAAAGCCAAATAAATATTGGAAATCAAAGTGTGTGTGAGGAGTGGTGGAATGATCGCTAAATATTTTTATTTCTGTTCTGTCTCCCAGACACTTGTGTCTTGGAAGGTTTTGTATGGAGTCCTGGAATAGCGTGTGTACCTTTCCTTTTTCCTAGTGGGACATACTGTGCTCTTAGTTGCTTACTGATCTGTTCTGATAGCTTGGGGACCAAGTCTGGTCTGTTCTCGACTGGCTTGAAGCACAAGTGTGGCTAGTAGGCATTCACTTGTATTTCACTGGGTAAAACATGTAGATATAATTGTAGCATGTATATGCATATATTTACATATGTATGTGCATGCTTTATGTGATTGACGGGAAAACACCCTTGCATTCACTTTGAGAATGCCTAAATACAGTCCTCAAACTTTCATTTGTAAGTAAGTGTTCTCACAGGAATGAAGGTAACTAGTTTTTAGTTATATTCCTGAAATGTGCCTCTCATAATATTTAGCAGCAGTTCAGCATCACTTTCCCACACTAAATAAGAAGTCATGCCATGTAGCTCATTGCACAGAGTAATTTGCCTAGAGTTCATCGTGCTTTCTCTGCTGCAGCTGCACAATGCAGCTTAATGCTGAGCATAGTTATGAATGATGCTATAAAATGTGATTATGAACAAACTGGTCAGTGCTGAGATTTAAGGTTTCTGAACTTGTCTATAGAATATGCTTATTCAACTCTTTGTTCAATCCCACGGGGTAAAAATGTGTCTGTATATTTATGGCAAACTTGTGCTTGCCTTGGACTAAGCTGTTGTTTGTCCCCTACCTCTTGTGTTCTCCTCTGCACCCTTTCCAAAGTCCCAAGACTCTCTTTATTATCAACTCATCAGGAACTGAATTTGTTGATTAGTCCTAGAGGTTTAATTCAAATTTAAGGCTGATAGAGTAATAGTGTTTTAACTAAGAAGCTGAATTGTAATGGTTTGCTGTCTTTACAGTATGGAGAAGAATGCAGGACTAAAACATACCCTCCTTCAGGGCCAACGTAAGTAATCCGTTTCAACTTGGCTAACAAATGGCAGAATAGTAGTGATTTGCAAGTCTGAACAGTTTTGGGGTTTTTTAGTAACTTGTTCCTTTGCATCTGTAAAAAATGCTAGTTACAGGTGGGAAGCACCTATTTTGTCAAATGTTTTTTCAAAGCCTTCTTCAAATTTAAACTTTGGTACTTATCTTTCAGGTTCAAAGGGAACATACCCACGTATGTCATAAATCTTGATTTACCTCCCAGCAAAAGATGGGATAACTTGATGCGCGACAAAAAGACAGAGGTATGAAATTCAGAGCTTGCTTTGAAGCTTAGGAGGTATAAAACTAGCTCATAGCCTGTACTTTGAAAAAAGGTTTGGAAAGGAATACCTGTGCTAAAGTTCTCTGAAAGGGATAACATTTCTACTTGACTTTTTTATTATGACTCTAGACTAAAATAATTGCTTGAGTAAAACTTCATTCTGTTCAGCTCTTGAGCTTGTAGCATCCAGCAAGTAGGGGCACTGATGTTTGGGATGTAGAGAAATAGAAACTGATGCAGGATAAAGCAGGCTTTCATTTATCAAAGTCCTTTACTCATGAAGCAGTACAGAATAAAGAGGAGAGGAGTACACAAAAGGGACAGCCACAGCAAAATGAAAGGAAACAGAGGCAGCATCCCTTCTCTGCACATCCCTGCTTCTCTCAAAACACTGCAGGAGATGCTGAAGTGAATTTCCTGCGCTTTTCAGGGGTGCTGCTTCCATCACTGGTGCTTACAGAGCAGAAATCATTTTTAAAATACTCAAAACTATTTCAGACTATTTAGAGCAGCTTCTTCTGAAGGTTGCTGGAAATTCAAACCAGTAATGTTTAATTTCCCCAAAAAGGCCAGGGATTTTTGCTGTATCCCTGCTAACTTTGACCTTTCAGCTCTGAAGGCCAGACAAATTCTACTTACACTATAGTATTTATTCGAAGTGTTGGAAGCTTCAGGTTTACCTTGAATTCTAACAGGTTCTCTCTCTCATGTACTTAGTTAGATCACATGGAGTGGAACTCTGTGGCAATTCACATGTTGCAGATGGAAAGCATGTACTTCTATAAGAAATTTATTGAGTCTTTTTGGCTTCAAGAACATCAGTGCTTAAGTGAAGAGCTTTTAATTAACATTTTTAAAGACAGAAGAGTGCAGCATATTAAAACGTGATCAAAGGAGCAGAAGACAAGGATGGCTTTTCCTTGTAATTCTTTTTCTCTGGTAGAAGTACACGTCAGAGGTAGTCGAGAAAGCTATTTGAATAAAGGTTGAAGAATGACTCTTTAATGAGGAGTTAGGGGTGGTTTTCTCAGCAGGAACACAACATTTAGCACTTGCCTTGAATACGTATTTTTCACCAAAATGATTTTTTGAAGGAGTTCTGTTAATATTGTAGCAATCCTAATGCTCCAGATGTACTCAGTAAAAGCTCTTGTTCTTTTTAGCTGAAGACTGTGGTCCAGAATATTAAAGATATAGCAAATACCTTCTTCCCCAGTGGCAAAGTTGTTGACATAGTGGATAAGAAAATAGTAAGTATTTTCAGCTTAAGAACTTTATTACTGTATGCTCGACTACCAGAATTGGAGTGCGCCGCTAAATCTGGCAGTTAAGAACTTCATGAGTGATAATTCTTCCAGAACAAAAATGCTGTTTCAAAGAGTTACTCTGAAATTTTTCCTTCTTCCTACTCTGAGCTACTCTGAAACCATCAAACCTAAAATGCACACATCTCTTCCTCCTCTGAATTTTTCTAAGATCTTTTCAAGTTTGGATCAGTCATGACAGACATATGCTACTTATGAAACCAGGACATTGCTGCAGCAAAACACTTCATTGGAATTCTCTTGGCTATGTTCAACTCCTTTTAAACAGTAGAATAAAATCGGGTTTTGAAAACTGTCATAAATATCTGAGTAGAGAGACAACTGACCAGGTCTCACCTTACAAAATAATTTGGTTCTGATTAAAATAGGCTTGGGCATGGAATCAGAACGGGGGAACACAGTGTAGCACTAGAGACAGCATAAGGTAAGATTTGTCCCCCATCTTTATTTACAGCAGCCTTAGGTCATACTGGCCGTGCTTCATTTGTATCCCTGTGTACCAGAGTAGGGTTGACGTAAATGTAGCATCTACAGTAGTAGTGACACTGTGTGAAAGGTAGGGATTCCCAAAAAGTCAAGCTGAGTTCTGGTTGAGCTTTTAGCATGTAAGAGTCTTGCACTCTGTTCTGGCTGCTGCTGCTAACGATAATAAAGATACTGTGCTAATCTCTGTTGTTCACACATCAGTATTTTGATAAGTAATAGTTTTTGCTTTCCCCAAGTACTTGTCATCCTCAAGTTTTACAAGCTGCAGAGGAATTCAGTACTCTGTATTTGCAAGAAGGGTGTACTCCTGGGGAGAGATTTGTTTTAAGTAACGGAATAGTATTGATTTACACAAGTAATGTACAAAACTTTTCCTTTCAGGTTCACCTGACAGCCACACTTCCTTATCCTTTCAATGAAGAACTTACAGGGATTGCAAATTCATCTGGGATTCCTTTGGGTAATAGTTTCCAGCACTCTGTTAACATTGTGAAAAGCCAGACTCATTTAAGATTAGTATGTGTACAACCTGCCCTATAGTTATAGTCATCTGTGAGTATAACAAATAAATTATTAATGAAGTAGATAAAGCAATAAATTGCATGTCAAACTAAATGAAACCAGAAACAGTATTTTGGAGGAGAATGGCAAGAAATCACATACGCCTTTCATCAGGCTGGAAATTCTCTGTAGAGCTGTAGCTTCTCGCTTCTGAGTTTTGGGAAATGGAGCGAGTTTCAGTTCCTGTGCACCAGAATTTGAGGGAAATGCTTCATTCTCGTTGGTTTCCCATTCAGCTGTGTGGCTACTGTTGACATACCAAGAAGGCAAGGCTTAGTTTCATGCTGTGCTTTCTTTCACTTTGCTACATCCTCCTGCCTTCCTTCCACACTTTGTGAAAAAGAATGCCATTCCAGTGAGAAATAGACATTGAATTCTTCCAGAATTGTGACAAAGAAGATCCCTAGACCTGCTTCCACTGCTTCACCCATACAGGAGCAGCATACCTGGTGCTAATCAGCAGCTCTTCTATGCAAGAGTGGTATATAGAGTACATTTCTTCTTTAAAGTGAATTTTATAGCTTGTTTTGAAGTTTCCAGAGGAGGAAATAGCAATTACTGTCAGTTTTCTGTATGGTAAAGCAGAAGACCAAAGGATTCTGATCCTTCTGTTTGCCTTTCAGAAAGCTCTTGATTTTGGTGAAACAATCATTTCAGTGCTCAAATGAGATTTAAACAGAAATTCTTTAGAGAAATACCATAGAATGTTGAACTTTGCAGTATATTTTTTTCTTACCTTTTTTTTTTTCTCTGTTCATGGCAAAAGTTTCAGACTATTGAACTTTGTTTCTTTTTGTTCTAGGGGAAATTGTTATTTTTAACATCTTTTATGAAATTTTTACTGTATGTACATCAATAGTGGCGGAAGATAAAACAGGTAATGCAACCCAGAATTTACATAAGAATCTTTTATGTAGGAGAGGGTCCAGGTCAATTAACATAAACGTAGTCCTTCTCAACTGCAGGCAAGAAGGTCTGATAGAAGAGACTAAAAGCAATGATAATAAAAAGGTATTCCTGAGAAGAGAGCAAGAGATCACAGTTGTCTGAGGTTAAAAAAAAGGAAAAAGTACCTTCAAAGATTACAGTAGCTGGCATTTGTTTTTCTAGGGGAAAGAAACACCAGCCAGACATCTGATACTTTCTCAGTGCTATGAGGGGTTCTAGTGCAATCTGTTTCGCATCTAGTTCCTAGTTATTGCTCATGAAAATGGATAGCCTGTTCTAAGAAAAAAAAGACTTCTTCTGTTACTCAGTTCTGCTGCCCTTGTCTGTACCTGTTCCAGCTCAGGAAATGTCTATGGGGTTCTCAGAGGGCTTACGAACATCTCACTTTGAGAGGAAGCTCAAGGTAATAGCATTGCATTAAGATAATGTGGAAAGCATCTCAGGCTGAGAGGGACAACAGTTTACAAGATTACTGGATTTCAATTATGGCAAAACACTTCGTTAATCCAACCCCTCCCCCCCCCCCCATTTACTGGGCTTATGAAAAGGGCAACTAGACAATGGTATTTTCCTTGCTTACTTTCCCAGGTATTTTTCCTGCTTATTTCCTGATTTTTCTAAGCTGAAATTTATGTCTCTTTCTTTATAAAATAGTGTTTAATCTTTTTATTGCCATACAGGGAAGCTGTACCATGCCAGAAACTTGGATTTTGGGCTTTTTCTTGGGTAAGTAACCACACTTCCCATTATTTGTGTTTGTTTATTTTTAAACCCAAAGGGAAAGCTGAACTTGAAATTTCTACACACATTCTATGAGTCTAAATGATGAATTGGATGTTCGAACTGTGACAAGTAGTTCTGGATTGCAGGTTGTGAAAAAAGGGCAGTTCTGCTGATCTTATGTCAAATTACTGCAAGTGTGTCAAGAATGACTTTGTAAAACAGTTGTGTTCCGTGATACTTAGTGTTTTCTCAGCTTCAATTAAAACTGTTACTAACCAAAGAAAGGTCCATGTGACCGTATCTCCGAGGCATGGTTTGTTCTTTAAATGGTGGGACAGAAGCACCAACTGTAGTGTACACAGAGAAATGTGGATTGGATTGAAGCTTGGTTTTGTGGTTGCTTTTTTTTCACCCAAATTCTTCCCCTAGTTACTGTACTGTGCTCAACTGGCACTTCCCATCATTCATGACTTTGACTCAGAAGCCAGTGCTTTGTACTCCACCAATCTAACATTATCATTCATTTGGATATAAATTCTAGTTTGGTGCCCAGCACTGGATTCTTTTCTAATTTTCATTTCATACCTTGTGATCATGTAGTTCTATTATCCCAGTTTATTGTGTAATGTCACACATCCAGATGGCTCTCATTGCCCAGATGGAATTTTAATGTCCATCTTCTTTAAGATTCTTACCTGCCTATCAAAAATTCTTAACGTTGTCAGCTGTGACTCCACCTATTCCTTGGTTTGGCTTGTGTTGAAATTCTCACACTAGTCAGAAATACTGGGAACATGCTCCCTGAGAATTAAAGCAACTTCCAAAGTTGCTCCCAGAACCTGATTGCTTCCATAGAATTTAATGGTCTGCTAAGTGCACTTTAGCACCCTGTTGCTTACAAACTGTTCTGGCTTAATTTACAAACTAGACTAGGGCTTCCCTTAGGGTAGAGCAAATCCAATAGTATGTGGTTTGTTTTCTCCCTTTGAAAAGTCAGGATTTGAGGGAACCAGATCATTCTGCTGCAGAACAAGCTGTACATGCTTTCAGAATACAGTAGGTGTGATGTCACAGGTAGTACATGTAGCAGTCTCCTTTTGCCAGCAGGAATAGAAGAAAGTTATGTGTGTCAAAGCAAACCAGCTGTATCGGTTGTGCTGTTTAATACCGAGTAGTGCATATGCTCTTGGTTCAAACAAAACTGGGTTCTTTTCACCGACTGCTTTTGTATTTAGACTTCCTAATTGTGTGTTGCTCGTGCTGCTACCGTAACTGCTGAGCAGTGGTGTTGGCTGACATGAGTAAGATTAGAGGACAGGCATCACACAGGACAGGTATCACACACAGGAAATCTGTGTGCTGTGAAGGGAAGTTTTAAAAGCTGCTGAGGGAAGGAGGTTTCAAATGCTGTACTGTCTTCTGCAGGTGGGATGTTAAAAATAACTCCTGGACTTTAACTCGGGAACTGAAGCCCATAGTGGTGAACTTGGACTTCCAGAGAAACAACAAAACAGTATTCAAATCTACAAATTTTGCAGGATACATAGGCATGGTGTCTGGAGTCAAACCAGTAAGTAAGGGGAGGGAGGGTTGTCAGTTTGTTAATAACACTTCGGGCTTCCTTTTAAGATGTAGATTTGCCTGCTTTCACTCTCTGCCTTGGGATGGTTTTTAATAAATGATATCCTAATTGTTCTGGTACACTGTATAGCTGTTTGAAGAAAGGTAAAAAACCCTAATGCCAGACGTTGAATTCTGACTACAAACAGAAGTGAACACAAAGAGCTCAAGTGGTTGGAGTTTCTTGCTAGCAAAGGGATACTGCTGTGATCCCAGAGGTGAAATGGCATAGCTGTGCTATTTTAATTCCTTCTCTAATCCTTGGAAAAGGAGTCCTACATTGCAAGGTTTTTTTATTATTTCTTTTTTTAATAGGCACCTGAAATTTGGGGGTTATCTTAAGTCCTTATAAAACAGCAGTGGAGAATATGCCGAGGTCTCCAGCTTACCACAACTCCTTTCCTGCATGCTCTGGCTTTTATCCTCTATAGCAGGTGGCCCTTTTTGTAGCAGAGCATTTCTGGCATAAATCCCTGCATTGTATCCATTTATTTTTTTTACTGGTCGAATAAACTGGGAGCAGTCCATTCTGAAAATAATCCAGTGTAGATGAATTCCACTTTCCTTCAAAAGAAACTAGTTGGACTGGGATTTGAGTTTGCATTGCATGTTGAACTGCATACAGCTGCATGCCCATGTGAACAGCAATAACATATTAGGGTGTACTTAACACTGGGACTGAAATATCTACCTTCAAACTGAGGCAATATTCAGAGGTTTGGGAAGAAGGTAATATACAGCAGGGGAAGGAAAACTGGTAATCCGGTGATGCAGCAAGGACCAAGAGAAAAATGTCCACAGGCTTGACCTGCTTAGCATATAAGCATGGTTTGCTGGGTTGCTGTGCCCAGGTTGGAAGACTATGAATTACCATTTCACTTCCTCAAGCAGCGGTAAATTAGGTTCTTCTCTGCATGGGCTTAATCTTGCAGCCCAAAGGGGAAAAGTCTAGCGAACAAGAAGCTCAACTGGTATGTGAACTGCGATGCTGCCCCTTGTTTATTACTGACATCAGTGGGGTGGTGATGAATGGATGTTGACTTGTTTAATGCTTTTCAGGACTTGTTCACTCTGACAATGAATGAGCGTTTCAGTCTTGATGGTGGTTATGTTGGTGAGTAATGCTTATTCCTTTCACTATTTCTGTACAAGTTCTTCAGACCTTGGGCATACCGGTTAGCTTAATAAACAGGCACACAAATGGTGAAAAGATTCCAGATGAATAAGATAAAACACTGTTCACTTTAGAGGCTGTGAGAGTTAGAATAGCATGTGTGAACCTTCTCAAATTATTGTAACCAGTGCTGTTTTGCAGGAATCTTCGAATGGTTTCTTGGTAGAAGAGATGGTATGTGGATGGGCTTTCTTACAAGAGCAATACTAGAGAATGCTACAAGGTATTTCCCCCACCCACTCGCACTCAATATTCTGCTGCTTTAATCTCCTTTGCTTTCAACTGGCATGAACACTGTAGATGTATCTAATGATCTTATCACTTGGTATCTAATGATACAGATACCTTCCTAGAAGCCTTAAGATTAAATAGTTCTGGTTTTGCTGTTAGCCTGTAGGAGGGAGAAGCATCACACATGATCCCTTAGAACTCCTCAAATTGTTTTCTCTGATATATTTGTTCCAATGAAGCTATTGGCATCTGAGTGTGTAATGGCAGCATTCTGCATCAAAACACATCTGAAAGGTTTTTTTAGGAAGTAAACAGCAACAAAGCTCTCCCACAGTAAATGAAGTAGATGGAGTATGACACAGCATGTACATTTAAACCAGGAATAAGATGACGAAAAGCGTAGAGTACCTCCCAACAACCATACTTTAAATACAAAAGTGAGTAGAGGTGCTTTGCTTAAATGCATTTCTTCATTGTGATACAACCTCCTCATGTGCATGAAAGGGGAAGAAAGGTGCAACTACTGAACTGTTCTTGGGTCTGTGAAACTCATTTTTCTGTACTTCAACCATTTATGATGTTTAATAGTCCAACACTACTTTGTTATCTGCAGTTACCAGGATGCAAAAGACAAACTGGCAAAAACAAGACTGCTGGCTCCAGCTTACTTTATACTGGGTGGAAAAAATTCAGGAGAAGGGTGTGTGATAACTCGTTCCAGGACAGCCACTCTGGATATCTGGGAGTGAGTATGCTTGACCTGACACCTGATTTGGCTTTCCAGAAGAGGATAGGTTCCAACAATAATTGCATCCCATGTTTCTCGTGACTGCTGTTGTCCAAGAACTCACTTCAGCATTGTCGAAAAATTCCACAGGAACCCTAAAAAAAAATCTGCCTGTATGTAGTATATACTATATATGTACTTCCTGTATACTTAGAGAAGCAAAACACAAACATACACCTCTTTTCCAGCCTTGATATCCAGAAAGGTACGTGGTACGTCTTAGAAACAAACTACGATCGCTGGAAGCCTCCACTGATCTTGGATAATCGCAGAACACCTGCAATGAAATGCCTGAACCAGACAACACAAGAGGTAAACATCTTCCTAATACCTCTTCTTGCTTCTTTGAAGCTTCCAGGCTCCAGTACTGATCTGACACTGGCCAGAGCAGTCAGGGCATTTGCAAGCACAGCTCTAATAACAAAAGTGGCTAACGGTTTTGTAGCAATTTGTCTGTGCTCCTGGGTAATGAAGTACCAGCTGCTCTTCACACAAATGGGTTTTAGTTTTAGAGTTTCTCTTCATGTAGGTGGGTTTCTTGCAAGCATGTTCTGCAGCTGCATGTGCAGGAGGTTAAACAGGAGATACGTTTAGAGAGATTTTCAGTGTTTCCTGGGCTGTTTTAACACCAGTGAAATTCAAACACATGTTGTCAGGCAGCAAACATTGACACTTGGGTGTCCTGTGCTGTACTGAGATCTGGTCTGCTCAGGTTTTTGCAACCCATATTCTTCTGATCTCAAGATGCACAAGTACCATGTACTCTTAAAGCTGTATCTTACCATCTAATTGAGCAATAACGAAGTTACAGTTTTGAGCATTTACACTTACAGGTTAATATCCCTTACCATCAATGTATTATTTTCTTTTTAGAACCTCTCCTTACCAGCAATTTATGATGTTCTTTCTACAAAGCCTGTCCTCAACAAGGTAATGCTTCTGTTTCTGCAGAAGGTTTAGAGTGGGGGCAGACTTAACTACTGTATGTCTAAGGAGGAGGTCACAGTGGTACATTCAGAGTTTTTTTAGGTGAAAATGTGCATAAAAGTGAAACAAATTCCATGCTTACTTTGTGAAAGCAAAAGTGCTGTTTTCCAGAGGCCCTACACCTTTAAAACTCTGAGCAGGCTGAGCCCTTTTCTCCTAGCAGGCTCTGGTTTGAGGCAGCATTTGCACTATAAACATCTGAAGGACCCTTCTAACCTGAATTAACCTGTGGTACATGCCTTTATAAGTAGCGTGGAACAGGTTAACACACCTCATGGTTTAGGGCATACTACATGCACATTCTTCTTGCAACAGAAGATGTTTTAGTCTGAACTTGAGGTTTTGGTGTTTGGGGAGGGGGGAAGGACTAGAAGGATGGAAAGAGTTTTTGAATGATAAAGTTTAGTTACTGTATTAAGTGGAAGCAGCATTCTTGGGTGAGGACACAAGCTGTGCATACTTGCATGTTGTTGACTGAATAAGATAAATGCTCATTTTAGTTGAACAGTTCATCTAGTATCAGAGAGAGTTTTTCCACTAATTGCTGTAATGAGGCTCTGTCTTTTTCTTTCCCTTTTCTCTGCTTCCTCCCACCTGCCTGACAGCTGACTGTGTGCACAACACTGATGGAGGTGGATAATGGCCATACAGAGACTTACCTGCGGGAGTGCCCAGATCCCTGTAGCCCTTGGTAGTCCTCTACCTTTCCTATGTTGGAAGCTGCTTGTCAGAGTTGGAGGTCATCCAAGAAAAAATAATTTTGGAAAAAGGTTCCTCAAACTCCTCTCTTCAGAAATCTAATGGCTACATAGAAATGTCAATGAGCTTCTAACAGTGGGGGCCCCACTGTCACAGTGGACTTTCCTGCTTTCTGACCAGCCATTGTGCTGACAAGAAATGTATACTAATGAATGTCTGGTTTGATTTCAGCCATTTCTGACAAATGAGTTTAGCAGCTGGCTCTAGATCTCTTCAGTCTTGGCAGTGTTCTTTGTTTGGTTTGTTGTTGCTTGTGGGTTTGTTATTTTTTCTTATTTGGTTGGGGTTTTTAGACTTCCAAAGCACACAGGAGTTAAAATTGCACTTATCAAGCATGAAAAATACTGGGTATAAGAAGGCCATCTGGGAGGAATGAATAACAGAACTGTACCCTAAACACCCTAAACACATTAAGGTGAATTGCTAGTGTTCTCCAGTGTAAGGAGATTTCAGAGATAACCTGTTATAAAATAACCTACCAGGTGTCATACCTACGCACAGAAATGAGGTCTTAGGGCAATACCTAAAATGAGATCCGAGCCAAAAAAATGTCTTTTCACTAATGTAAAGATACTCTGCTGAAGCTCTTTCTTGGCCCAGTAACAATTTTTTAATACAGATTATTCTGTTGTCTCAAAAAAATAAATACTAATACAGTACATATTGTTAAGAACTACTTTATTTCACCAAGTAACAAATGCACTGATTTTGTACCTCAGTGGCAGTCACTGTGCATGTTACATAGCACATGGCAAAAAAATCTGTTCTGTCTCATACAATCTCATAACAGTGTGATTTAGATCCGGGGAAGATGCCTGTATAGTGTGATACGCAGCTTCTGGGACATTTGATTCATATAAAGCACTTAAATCAAGTCAGATAATACAGTCTGTACCATTAAGAGCATATTGTGTACTTCTGAGGTCGCACCTTAATCTGGTAGGGGGTTGTTCAGGTTTATTTGGAATTAGTTGTGTAACAGCCATAATCAAATTACTTTGTCATTTAAAAATAAGTAAGTTTACTTGCTTAATGAGCCCTGTCCCACTTTAGCATATGTGGAGCAAGGCAGTGTAGACTATTTACAGTCATTAACTAATGAGCTTTTGGTATGTCCCTTGTGCAAGACAATCCACATTTCCACACTGGAAATTGCTTTACAATTGCAAAAGCACAGCTAAATCCTGTGGATGTCTGGCCAGAGCCTGAATACCTGTGCCTGCTGTTGACTAAAATAAACAAAGCTGTTTAGAAATAAAAAGCCCAACAACTATGTCTTATGGGTCTGCCTTATAGGGAAAAAGTGTTGAATGTGATGAATTGTTTATTGATTTAACCTTCGCCTGTCAACTCTGAAAGCACTTGATTTGAAGGTTTTCTCAATCCAGACAAAAAGTTTAATTTGTTACAGATAGAGACATCTGGTTTTAACCGCAGTTTACTGCCCCCTCCTGCTTCTGCTGCCCTAGGCACTGTAATGGAAGCTAAGACCGTTTCACTGAAGAAATGTATACAACAACTTGAAACTTTGGGATTTCATTTAGCTTCTTTGTTATTTTTTTTCTCAGCAGAAAGACACAACAAAAATGGGCATGCTTCATAGAATCACACCATGGTTTGGGTTGGAAGGGACCTGAAAGTTCATCCAGTTCCAACCCCCTGCCATGTGCAGGGACACCTTCCACTAGAGCAGGTTGCTCCAAGCTCCGTCTAACCTGGCCTTGAACACTGCCAGGGATGGTGCAGCCACAGCTTCTCTGGGTACCCCGTACCAGTGTCTCACCACCCTCACAGTAAAGAGTTTCTTCCTAATGTCTAATAGTTGAGGTACCTCACAAACACTGAAGAGGTGGCCTGAGCTTTTGTTTTAAGGTTTATTTTTCCCTAGGTCAAAGGAGCAGCTGTACATATTTTCTGTTTGGAGTTTAGATAAGGGATTTACACAGCTTTCCTAGTTCTGTTGTGAAAAATCAGCAAGTGGTTGCAAGAAAAAAAGAGATAAGTATATATATAAGGAACAAGACAAACATACTTTTGTATTATAACTGCATAATCTAGTTCTGTGAAGAACAGCCTCAGTATTTGAGCTTCCAAGAGATTTTTACAGGTAATGTAAATACAAAGAGTTAATCCAGTTGTTCAGACCTTGCTGAAATAAGGCATTACAGGAAAGACAAAACATTTGGATGCTGGCATTTAAATGCAAAACCTGTCTGCCACTAAAATATCACACCTCTACAGTATAAGAAACCTGTGAGGTGAAGCCCCATACTTTTCAGAGGAAGAAGGGATGGCATCACCCATGTCAAAGAGCAAAACACTAGCAGCTAGTGAAGATAGGAGAATCCAGGAAAAGAATTGGATTCCATTAAAGTCAAGCAGTAGTTATGGCACACACATGCAAGTGACTTTGCATTAGAGTCAGCTATCAGTTAAGACTTTGCTTAGAAGCCAGGCTCCAGAGCAGATGTGCTGAAAGGACCTGCAGGAAAAGCAGCAGGAGTAAATAGAAGACTTGAGCTGGAGCATGCATGGAGGCATGATGGAGAGTGAATGAGATGGAGCAGCTGAGAGCTTTAGGCAGGTGCCACAGATAACAAAATACTCCCAGCACAAACACCTGTCCCACCTTCGTGCAGCCACCCCTTTGGGCTTCAGGTGTAAAGAGAAAGAAGGAAAGCAACGCAAACAGAAAGCTCAAAAACCTGGATTTCACCTTGGTGACAGCAATAGGGAAATGTCCTGCTTATGCCACAGATCATTAGAGGGACTCTTCTGCTTTGGGAGGACCAGAAGCATTGGTGAGAAAGGCACACACAAGCTCTCCAGCAGCAAAACCTTTCATCCTTTGCACCAGAAGAACAAGATGAGCCACAAAGAGTAATGCTAAGTCAAAGCAGTGGCAGAAACCACAATTTGCCTTGGGAAGAAAACTCCAGGTATTTATGCATTTTATAAGCAGCTGCCTTTGTTAAAGGAGTCTGGAAACACAGCATACCAATTGGCCAAATACTGTGATCAAGAAGCAAGCACGCCAAGCAGCTGTTCTCTCTTGGTCTGCCTACCAGTTTTTCAGAGCATCGTAACTTGGCAGTATCAAAGATTTTAAAGGCCTCTTGTAGCTAAGTCTGCTCCCATACTGTTACTTAGAGGAGAGGACAGTAATTATAAAGGAGTTAGTCTGTTTACATACTGAGAAGTGCTGTACTTGGGACATTTTCTGATCCACAGTGGATCAGCTCTGAATTATATTAATTGTATATGGGACAATCCCTCTCAGTGTAATTTGTTTTGCAAAGTTTGTTCTCCTAGCTCAAGGGTGACGGATGAGCAATAGAAGAATCCCAGTAGTGAGGCTGCCTCTGTTGGGCATTCTATGTTTAAGGTAACTCCGGACATAAGGCTTGCTTAGGGTTTTTCACTAATAGTCTTGTGTTTCTTTCAATCTGGCTAAGCCTTCTCTATAAGGAAGACACCCAGTGTGGAAAAAAAGTTAATCCTTAGGCTTTTCCCTCATAAAATTTCAATGAAAGTAGTTCATCTCATTACCAAACAAAAATACTTATTTTGTCTGTAGTAATAAAGATAGATCACAAGCACTGAGTTGTAGCAAAGGGCTGAATTGCCATCTTCTTTTCAAAGTGGAACTTTAATTCAGGTACCTGCGGCTGTTTGTATCAAACACAGCCTTTTCTCAGGCCACACCAACCATTTGAATTACACCACTGTTTAAACCTTTGAGTAGTTACATATTATTTGCGCCAACTTAGTTTCCAAAATGCTGCATCTGCATTCCTGCAAGTGGTGTACATGCACCATCCCCTGAGAGCTGGAAACTGTTCTGCCAAGATAGCCCCGTTCAGCTGCAGAAGGTATGCTTTCTGCATGAGCCAAGTGGGGAAAAGAAACAGGAGTGATTGGATGGAGAAGGGAAAACAAGAGTACACTCCTCTACTGACCCCACTGCTCCCTAAACTAAGCATTCCTTTGCTGTCATATGAAAGCCCAACCTAAATGTGCCTCCCCACCTGCAGCAACTGCTGTTACTATAGTTTGTCAAATCATGCTGAGAGATAGTAGATCTAAGCAGATTCTCTGAGGAAAGAATACTGAAGTTAAAACATACATGTTATCCCAGGCAACCACTCTTCCGATTTAAAAGCAAGATATACAGCTGGAGGCTGTAAAGCATCCAGAAGCCAGCAAGCATAGCAGCTACTCATCCCCCTTCCTTTTTGGATGGGACACAGTCTCTTTGTATGATCCCAAAATTCCTCTTACAAAGATGCCTTGTTTCACTCGCTGCACAGGACAGGCTCTGTTCCTGTGATTAATGATGATGGCATAATAAAGGAGAAAGGCTTCTGCTTTGTTCCAGCTCTTAAGACAGTAAATAAGGCCTTGCAAGAGAAAGGTGCTGCAGACCGGGCAGGCCTAAGTACCTACTGGGACAACTGAATCCTCACCCATCTCTGCCAGGTGCTACACAGGCAACCCAGTAAGTTGTGGGTTTTGGCCAATACCAGTCTGTGATACCTGTGGTTGCACTTGGAAGTACTGATCATAGCAACCATCGAGACAGAGGGAGCTATGCTGCAATCAGATAAAGTGCTCTACAATGTGTCCCAGTTCTTTACATCTCAGTTCAGGCTCTCAAAAGTCCTCCAGGCATCTTGGTTTCAAATTCTGTACCTCTGAGGCCCATATGTAATACAGGCATGATATCCCCTATCTATCAGAAAGATTGTGACATAAACTAATACAAAGAGAGGCCTAAAGCCCTCAAACAAAGTTGATTTAGTCCAATAGCAGCAAGCCTTCAGGAATCATGGAATTAATAACACAGGGAGAGCACCATAGGAAAACTGCAAAGAAACTGAACCATCTCAATGCAAGCCTTGGATGGTTCATAACACTAACAGATCTCAGGGCAACGCACTGAGACAGAGACTTTGAGAAACGGCCAGCACAGGCAAAAAGAAGAGAGATGACTGTATGATGAAGAGTACTGTGTGGACAGGGTTAGCAGGCTACCTGCAGGTGCTTGCTGTACTCCTGATGGTTATTTTGCAGTGCTTGAACATATAAGCTAGACAGCTAGAGGTTTTATTTTTTCAACTGCGGGCAGGGTATCAATTGGGATGGAGAAATTAAGATACACCAGAACACAGCTTCCACATGCCTGTCTGGTGAGAGGGAGAGCAGCAGCCATTTGGCCTGGAGAGGACAATAAAGCAACTTAGAACAGCTCCTATTTACACAAGGTGCAGGTCACAGCCTCCCACCAGGCCATCTATAGCTGCCTCTGCTCTGCCAGCAGGTGAAATGAACCACATTTGCTCTGTGAGGATCCTGATCATACCTTTGTCCCCCAGAGCAGCAACCCACTAATTTTCCCTCTGATCAGACTCTATTTGTTTCTCCCACCTGAGACTGCTCAGTTGATTATCAGCCTCCTTTTCACCAAACAGCCTGCCAGTGCAGTGTGTGCACACAGCAGCAGAGATAAACACCCCAGCACCAAACGGGTTTGAAGTGAAGCCAGGCGACTGCCTATCCCCATGTCAACCTCCCGCTTTCAGTGATGTCTCTGTTGCGCAACATCACAATAACACACCAGCACAAACCCTGCTTCCCACGTCCCTCAGTGCCACAGCCACAAATGCCTGCTCAAACCACTCTGTATTTTTATTGGGGTTGGTTTTGGCTTGTCATTTTCACTGCTGCTCAGAGTGCTGCATGAGCACAGCATGAGCATACGTGGAGTTCCCTCCCAGCCGCCAAACAGGCAGACGCTTGGCTGAGCAGCACCTTTGCTACATGGAGGCTTACCCCTGCTATGTGGAGGTTACCTGCCCTCGGTGAGCAGCCCCCATGGTGTCAGGCGCAGCTGGCACAGGCCGCTGGGATTTCCTGTTTCTGAAACAGTGTTATCAGCCAGACTATCATGATCCTTAATTTAGAAAGCTGTTTTCTTGTGATCCGGTTCCACACCTCCACACGCAGGCTGAGGACTGTCACATGAGTAGCAGCACTGAGGTTGCATGGCATTTGCCCTGTTAAAACCCACGGGTATTGCTCATTGTAAATGTTTTCCACGGACTGAACTGTACAGGTACCAGCAAGCAGTCTTGCTCCTTTGCGTTGTCTAGTGTAACGTGACAAGAAAGTGGCACACTCAATAACCACTACATGGAATGAGGTGCATCTGCTTCATTTTACCTCAGGAGGCATTTTCAGTTTGCAGTTGAAGGTTCATGCCAATTACATTCCTCAGCTGTGGGCATCCACTAAATAATTTCTTACTTGATGGAACAAAGAAAGATCAGTAAAGGGTCTTTCCCAGCATAAGGCATGAAACTGACCCCTGCTGCTATAAATCACAAGCAAGAGCAGAGCTCATCTCGGGGATCTTTCTTATAGTCACCTGTTCCTGCAGTTTCTGAACTGTGGTATCAAACCTTTGCTGCTAAACTATGAAGATTTTTTTCTGGTATTGACTATTTCTCAGTGGCACCACCTTCTGTAGTGATTGATGTTCACAGGTGCCAGCCCCACAGCCCATCCTATGCAGAGAAGCACCCGCACTTTGAGGGCTCCCCATTGACTCAGGTAAGTTGGAGAGTTGCAGTTCCAGCAATAAACATCAGTAACAAAAGCACATTGCACACTGTGACTCATATCATGAAGACCTAAGCCACATAACTACAAAATATTAGCCTTTACTGTGCACACATAAAAGATACAGACTTGAGATGGACTATGATGATCGTAATCCCAATAGAATTCAGCATTTTAACCCTGGACAATACAGTGTCTGGCAACTGTATTTCAACATCGTTTTTAAACTCAGATGTCTAGCCCACAGAAGGAAATAATAGTATCTATAACTTAATCTTCTGGAGAAATGCAGTGAAAAATTGCTTTTTGTTTTCTTTTGAAAATATAAGACACCTGAAAAGATTAGTAAGTAAAAATACAAACCCAATAAATGTATAAATTCCAGCTTTTTTCTTTGTAAGATATTCAACTTCCCAGGTTTGCTTATGAAAGCTTCTGAACACGGGTTATATAAAATACCTGTAATGAATACTTGGTTTGCAACAACAAAAGAAGAGCTAATGGTTATGTCACTTTTAGTCTTCTAAAGTCATGCTAATGAAAACACTAATCAAAGATTGCAGTTACTTACATTTGCAGTCCTTCCCTGTTGTAGGTGGATTTCATTGAGCAATAGATTTATGACTTTATCACGACACAATGCATGCAAGGCTGAATTCATTCAGTTGCTAATGAAATGTGATTTGGGGACTCTCTTGCTCCAGCTGGGTGATAATTAGGGCTTATCACAGATAGGTCTAGGAAAAGGCTGGGAAACACTTAAGCTTGTTTTGAAGCTCCTTTGCCCTCTTAGTAAAGGAGCAATTCTACAGCATCAGTCTGAAGTCTCCTGCCTATTCAAGAGAGGTAATGATGAGGTTTTTAACCTATCTGCAAAGGGTATGGTTATATGAAGTGTGATGGGAGATTGTTTTACTAAATCTTTCTGGTTTAGTGCCTTCTGAAGGGTGAGATGGGTACTTTGCTTTCTCAGGCAGCTCGAGTGAAATGTTAATGAAGCAACTGGCTCTGAAGGAACCTTGCAGAACTTGCTCTATATGATGCCCTCTTAATTTGAAATTCTGCTTTTGGTTGTTGCCTGCCAACCTCTGTGTAGGTTTCCCAAAGCAAAAGGTAGATCCTGTATGTGGGAAAGACAAAACATTGCATTCATCTCTCCTTGATGACACTGGCACAGGTTGCCCTGAGAAGCTGTGGCTCCCCTGTCCCTGGCAGTGTTCAAGGCCAGGTTGGGATGGGACTTTGAACAACTTGGTCTAGTGTGAGGTGGAGGGGGGGGCAGGGGATTGGAACTGGATGAGCTTTCAGGTCCCTTCCAACCCAAACCATTCTGTGATTCTATTCAGATTATAATGGCTCTATATTAACTAATAAGCAGAAGGGCCTCTCAAGCATCTAAGTAACTGAATAATCTTACAACTAATCAATGTAGTAAGAAGGTAGCCCCTCCGAGACTCATATAAGTAAATACTTTAAAAGTATCTAAAGGCAGAAGCTAGACTGTGACTTCTGAGGTACCTTATCCAGATATGCTATCGGCTGGAAACACTATTCTACATGAGCAGCAAAATACCTGTCTCCTTAATGCAGACTGTGGCTCACCTACAGAGCAGATTCCAGTTTAAAGCCCTTCTCTCTCTGTAGGGACCTACTCCTCTTCCCCCTCCCTTCCTTGGTGAGGGTCATCTCTAGGTGCTTTTAAAGGAGAACTGCTACCTGTGAGCTGGAAACTACACAGCAGCTTTTCAAAATCAAGTTTTCCTGAATTGGAAGACTTCAGTTTTGGTAATTAGAAGATGAGTTTTTTAAAATGGACTGGAGAAATAGAACTTGAAATAACCAAAGCACTGCAGAGAAAGCTTCCCCCACATTGATTTTATGTGTTTTTTGCTAAAAAAAAAAACCACAAACAACAGGTTGTGGTTTTGTGTAGCTTAAAGGAACATTTGTGGAGGGCTTTGTATTTTCCATGAATGCTCTTTATTCAGGCCAAACTTAGCTATCTTTGTAAAAGAAAGTGATTGCCTTTTACATTGAACCAAAGGCATATCTAGATTCCCACTGCAAATGTACAGTGGGTTCTATAGATTAGTTCTTGGAAAAAGCTTTTCATTTATTTCCCAGGATATACTCATATTTACACTGTGTGTCTATGTATGGAGAGTTCTGCTGTGTGGGTGAGCTGTTTTTTTTCCCCTTCCTTGAATAGTTTACATGGTTGTAGGACCCTGGACCTGAAGAGCTTTTAACATCAAGGCACTCGGAAGCACTTAAGTGCAGTCCAGACTTCCCAGCTCTTCAGAGCACTGCTTGCTTTAGAGATGCAAATATGCAATGCAAGTCTGGGATAAGGAGTCATCCAGAGAACTGATAGGTCAGCAAACCTCAAACTTACAGTTCAGGTCCTACTTCTTCCTTAATGATGTTATCTACTTATCACACTCCCTTTGAAATGATTTCAGTCTCTATTTGGCTTGGGGTAAGAAAAACAGTCATGAGACCTGCTTGTAATACAAGTCTTTTCAGTGTCAGGGTTCTGCCCCCATTAGCCAAGGGCTAGACGCAGAAGTGGATTTGTTCTTTTAATTGTTCCCACACTCACACTGGTGTTCATATAAAATGAATCCAGGCAGGGGGCACGTTGGCCCTTTCTGAGATCTTAGCCCAGACGAATGCATGTGACTAGTACTGTACCTGACTCAGGTGCTGGGGCTGCAATTTAGTGCTCCTTGGTGATCAAGGCTCAGGGCTCTCTAGAGCCTGAGACTCACAGCTGTGCTCCTGATCTCTGGAATGGAGGCTGGCTGAGGACGCTGACCGCCTGTCCTTCCTGCTGAGTATAAGCTGTGGCACAGAAGCATTCCACATGTGAGGCCAGAAAGAGGAAGAAGGGAGGTGTCTTTACTGCAAGTTAGCCCACTTTTCAGTGGAAGAAGTCTGATGTTTGTCTGTGCTCCAGATATCTTGGAGTTTGTGCTCAAGTGCCCCTGAGGTTAAAGCACTGGATAGATGTGGGAAACCAGACCATAGCCCTGGGTCAAGAGCAGTAAACTTAAGCTATCCCACACACCGGTAGCTTCTCTGCAGTCTGAAGCTTCTTGGCTATTCTCAATATCATATATATGTATGTATACATATATATATATATATATATATATATGCATACCCTTATCCTGACTGCAAAGGAAAGCCTACTGAACTCCAAGAGCAAAGAGTCCTTGCTGTGGATGGTGAAAGGAAAATTGCCTGCCAAGTGCAGCTGAGGCATGAACATGGTTGAGTGGCTCAGGGCTAGCCACTGTGCCCACTGGCCTGTTATCCAACAGGTCTGCTTATGGTTTTATCCAGCAGAAAATGCCCTGGCAACCTGAGGTAGCTCATCCATCAGGGAAAGAGGTGGAGGTGGGACTGCAGTCAAAATGATTTTATTAAGCATCTAGCCTCTGCTCAGCAGATGGAGCTCCTGATTCTGGACTAGAGTATGTCCCTGTCCCACCACAGACACATCCATACGCCTGTCAAACCTCCACGAGGACTTGGCTGGCAGCAAGAACAGGGTTTAGCTTCTGGGAGGCTTGGTTGAATACAAGCTGCAGGTCCCAAACTTTCCTGCCTGTGGAGGGGAATATTGTTTGTCTTGCGATGAGTTATCCTGCCCATCTCAACATGACAGTCAGGTGCACTGTAGTTGAGCCTCTTTTGAAGATGAGGGCAAAGGAGAAGTGAAAGAGTAGAACTATGAAAGCAACAATAATAAAAAAAAAAAGCTTCTTTCTCCAGGCTCTTGTGGAAAAAGCACAAAAATGCAGTCTGAGGAGGACTGTCAAGGAACTGACTGACATTCCCAAAGCTTCTCTTCTTACCATGCTTAAATTTACCTCACTTGGAACAGAAGTATTTAGGTTAGACAGGACCTGGAAACCATCTGGTCCAAACCTTGCTCATGGCACAGCTGATCTCAAAGCAAGGTCAGGCTGCTCAGGCTCTTGTCCAGTCTGGGCAGCCTATTCCAGTTTCCCCACTCTTCCTGTGAGAAGAAATTAGGTCAGTGTGGTGCTATTGCTTTCAGGGTTTCCAGCCTCAGACCAGCAGGTTTATATTTGGCTTTGGTTATCCAAAAGGCTGCTCCTGTGAGATGTAAATTCTATTATGGCTCGACTACCAGGCTACTGTGAACAGGTCTGGGTTTTTACCTAGGATTTGTGATGAAGGGCAACTGGAAGCTCTGTGTGGCGTTACCTGTGCTTGAGCAAGCTGCCCCTCAGCAGCAGGTGCTAGTGCTGGCAATGCAGTGTGCTGTAATGCATCCACTGCCTGGTCCTGTAGCTACACCAGCACTGCCTGGCCGCACATGGCACAGTTCTCTGCAGAGCAGCCTGCCTGGTGGCTGAGCTACCAAACACCACCGTAGGACTTTAGCATGCCACAAAGAAGGAAACTGGGACATGGCTTCATTGAAACCTATACCAATTCTTTTATTTTCCCTCCACTTCTTACAAGTAAGGCACAATTAGGACAGCTGGACTGATAAAGTACTGAGGAGTAAAATGTTCTGCTACAGATGTTCCCTGGTGATCTGGTGTGGTGGAAAAAGTAGGCACAGCCCCAGGCACCCAGTGCTGAGTGAAGGCAGTGCCAGACAAGATGGACCACCCTGTGCCCCAGATTTGCCATGCAGCAGCCAGCAGAAAAATCACAAAGTACAAGCTAAAAGGTGTTGAAACACTTCTTGTGGCTTTGCCACAAAGGGAGATGCAGGCTCATCTATTTCACATGCTGTTATGAGCTAAGCTGAAGATTTCTTACCTAGCTTGTGTCCTGAGCTTTACTTTTGAAGGTGCATCATGTTAACTTCAGCTCTTACCTGGCTGGCTGTGAATGAAAACAGATACTTTGGGCAGACCTGAACATGAAAGATAAGTGTGCTGTCCTCTGTAAAGAGAATTATTATGAACTTTCTGTAACCTGTTTTCCTAGATATCTTCTGTAGATTTTTACACAAGAGGACATGAATAATTTACATCAAAATTAAGTAATCTTTTATACCTTCCCCATCCCTAGCTGCAGGTTAAGGATTTGACATCAATCTATTCCATGAAGACTTATAGAAGCACAGCACAGCAAATGACCTGCTGTATGAGCAGGTCAGTGCTAAGAAAGGCTCACTATAGCTCACCTCCCTTCTGTTTGTTGTGCAGCACTTCTCTTTCTGACGGTGGTTCAGCTCCTGATGGAGGAGCAAAATGTTATCACAGGGGTCCCGGCAGCCCTAAAGCGCCTGGCCAAACACATAGTGCGTGGTTTCTATGGAGCAGAGCACTCCCTGGCCCTTGATCTACTGATCCGCTACCCCTGCATCAAAGAGGATGACCTGTTACAGCTGCTCAAGTATGAACGTAAGCAACTGCGTGCTATCCTCAACACGCTCAAGGCAGACAAGTTTGTGAAGCTGCGCATGCGAGTTGAAACGGGGCCTAATGGGAAGAGCACAAGGCACAATTACTATTACATCAACTACAAGGTGCTGGTGGATGTGGTAAAATACAAAATGGATCATATGCGCCGGAAAATAGAAGCGGATGAGCGGGATTCAACTACCAGGTTCTCTTTTAAATGTCCATCTTGCTCCAGCACTTACACAGACCTTGAGGTCAATCAGCTCTTTGATGTATTTACAGGTATGTTGCTTATTCGCTCTCATCTTAAAGAGTAACTCTGATAGCACAAAGCTGGTTCCTATGCGAGCTTTGCAATAAAAGCATGTTTTTAGAATATATTTGTTTGTCAGCGGAAAAGGTCCTAGGACAGGAGAGGCTGGGAGGTGAGGATAAGAAGAAAGCTGTCCTTATAAAACAGGCCAAGCAAGAGGAAGAACAATCTTAAATATATGTGCTGGGGTTTGGAGTCAGATTTCAGGCCTCAGCTTTGCTATGAACAAGACTTTTAACCTGTTTTAAGACTACTCACTGAAGTCTTGTGATCCCCACCTCCTCATACAGGAATGAGTATACAGTACTCGCTTGACTCTGTTCTGAATGCATCGGTTAATCCATTTGTGTGTTCAGCTCTTCTGCTGAAAGAGTTGGACAAGATGGAGAAAACTGTTTGCAGCCAGCTACTGTGATAAGAGTATTGCAGCTCAGAAGTAGAGGCATTCCATTGCTCCCTGTGCCGGAAGTGGGGAAGTTTGGGCTTCTCGTGTGGCAGCACAACACATCCACAGCAGAAGTGCGTCAGGGCTTGAGGGTTTCTTTTCTCTAAAATCAAAATAACTCAACAGAAAGTACTCTTCCAAAGTGAGTTAAAATGGCATCATACTACAATGCATTACTCTTAAGTGCAGCTGCTGTGCTGTTAACATCTGGGCTGTAGAATTGGCAAAGGATGCCAGAGCCAGAGAGAGTGAACTTTACATGCCTAGCTTGGAACGTCAAAGGTGAAAGGAGTGTCCCGTCAGTTAGCAAAATCATCTCTTGTTCTAAATGGAAGGACTTTGCCAACATTGCAAACACAGAGGCTTGCAATATATTTTTAATAGAATATGCTTTAATTTTTTTCTTGGTTAAGACATAAATACAGGGGTTTAACATTAAATGAGTCTTTCTGAACTTCAGACCTCTGAACAACAGATGCTATTTATGCTAGCAAATGTCTTTTCTTACATGATGAACTAAGATGAGAACAGAGAAGAAAAATATTAGATCTTACTACCTGATATTCCATGTCTAGCCAACTCAACTTTTCCTTCTCCAATACAGCCATTTCTCCCTTTCATAGGGAATATCAGTCCCTCTCCAAAAGGCAAAAAAGAAGGCTTGCTTTTATAACTTGAGTTCCCTAGTTAATGTGAACAAATGTTTTGCTAATAGTCCAGGTTATGGATTTCTTAACAAGATACTGCTGGTCTTTTGTGTCCTATGAACTCAAGAATTCCCAATATGGATCATGTTGCAGAGACTTTCCACTGCACTTACTGCAACACTGAAGTAGAGGAAGATGCCTCAGCAGTTCTGACGCGTGACACTCAAACCTTGCTCGCGAAATTCAATGAGCAGATGGAACCTGTCTTTGCGCTGCTACGTGAAACTGAAGACATTGCTCTGCCATATGAGTTGCTGGAACCGCAGCCAACGGAAATACCGGAATTGTCAGGAAGGTATAATCGTAACCCTCAAACTTCTGATCAGCCCCCCCCCACCCCACCCAGAAAGCTGCTCAGTTGTAAAACCTTTGAAATGCTGAATTGCAGTCCACCTTCTACTCAGTTCTGCTTTGTCAGCTGCTTAATGAAGAAGCCTGCAATATCTAAGGCATTCTAAATTATTATGTATTTATAGTTTTATTTTTGCTGCTTTTAAAAGTATTTAATTTTCCAGACTTCTTTAGCTAATATTCATAACCCTTTCTGTGAGAAAGTAATGTTTCTCTAGCAGCATGCTCCATCCAGAGACAAATAACTGAGGAGACCATGCAAAAATCAGTTCAGAACCACTTGCCTCTGAGATGAAGTAAGAAGGAATGAGAATTGCTTCAAAATATAGCACTGGTTAAAGCTTCTCTGCTGACAAAACATGCTTTTTCTTGGTCTTGTTTTGTTTGCTTGTATGGGAACTCAGGGTTTTTTGCCTGAATTTAACCTGTCCCAAATGGGTGATGTTTCATTCAGCTTTGATCAGAAGGTGGGTTCAAGTGCGCTGGAATCCTGCAACCAACCTGAGAAATGGGCCAGCAGACGTTCCTCTTACAGCAATATGTACACTCAAAACTTAGTTATTGATGTCCAAGACTCTGAGCACAAGAAGAAAGCAAGAGAAAAACCAACTAAGAAGCAACCTATCTGGATGTCGCAGAGCACTGTGGAAGGAGCAACAAGAACTGCCAACAACAGTGTCGGTAAGTGTTTTTAGCAAATACTTGAAATTTGGCAGCCTTACTGCATTTAAACATAGCTTCCCTATCAAAAATGTAGTCAGCTTGGTTTAGAATATAGAGTTACACTTTAATTCTGCACTAGCGGTTATCACCACTTATAAATACCAGTCTTTAGCCTGACTGAGGCAGCATTTGTAAAGTTAAAGGTCAGATACCAGCTCCTGGATTATTTAGCTGTAGCCATGCAGTAACATTAGAGGCAATCTTTAAAGTGGAAAAGTCTTGGAGATGTCTGCACCTGGAAGAAAATCCTATAGCGTGGGTAAAGATGATGCAGAGCAGAAGAAACTAATTTATGCAGAATGCCTGTGGTAACTGTAAACTATTGCTACCTCTGATACTATGTGTTGTGTATTAGCAGTAAATGCCTCTGAAGAAACTGGTAAAGAAACTGTCACTGGTAATGAAATCCTCAGGACTCTTCTGCTCCATGAACCCAAGCTGTCATCTAGCACAGACAAGGCTCCTGTTGTCAAAAGCAAACCACCCAAATCAGGCAGTGATGTTAGTGAGTCTGAAGGTGATGCCAAACACTCAAGAGCAGCAGGAATGGAAGTAGCAGGCAGCAACTTTGAACAAGAGGAGGAAGAACAGGAAGCACAAGGTCCTATTTTAATGGTAGCTGGTCAGCCTCATTCATATGGTGAAGTTAATGAAAATCCAGAGCTTGTGTCTCTAATGACAAATGAAGAGAGGGATGAGTATGTTAAAGTAGGGCAAGAAATGTTCCAGTCTGTCTTTGAATAAATATAGTAGTGTGAACATGCAAATCTGTGTAGAATGGGTAAAGGCTTCTTTTGAAATAATAAGACAATCTATTAGTTTAACATACGTTCTTCAAAGTTTACCACCAAAGGGTGGTTTTGTTTGAATTCCTTGCTTTTATGTAAGATTATAAACCTGTAGTAGGTGACTACAGCTCAAAATGCTAGCATTGCAGCAAAAGCCATCAAAAGTTATTAGGGGTTTTCTGTTGTCTTAATGCTTAGACAATGTGAATGCTGTAATTAGTTTTGGAGCATGAGTAATTTTGCAGTACAGTGGATTGATTAAAATAAAGTTTCAAAAGCACTGGTGAACTCTGTTTGCAATAATAGATTTCTTACACCTTCCATACAGAACTTAGCAGATACTTCCAGTAGCAAAAATGAGTTGAAGCCAAAATATGATTTGGTTTCACTCCACATCAGTGTATTCTATTTGTTTTATTAAGTCATTCACTATACAGCAATAACAACTGCTACTAAGTTGCATTGGCTGTAGGAGAGAATCACCTCTGATTTCTTTAAATTTAATCCTAAAAATAGTTACATGAATTCTCTGTGATGAACTGTGTAATGGATACTAGACCGTAAAATATTCATTTTGGTCTGGATGGGTAAGACAGCAAGAAATGCTTGCTGCTTCTCGCAGTTCATCTATTTTCCCATAACCTTTTTAAACCAAGATCTTCCCTGCTACTACTGGAAAAAACACATTCCACTTGAACTGAATGACATGAGTAGGAGGAGTGGCATCAGAACATAAGGGAGACTTTAACCTCCTGTTACATGAAAGTAAATGATGGGCACAAACTGAAACACAGGCTCTTCCTTCAATGTTAGGAAATACTTTTTTTAGGAGGAACTGAGCACAGGCATGGGTTGCCCAGGAAGACTGTGTAGTCTCCCACGCTGGAGATACTCAAATACAACTGGGCACAGTCCTAACCAGCCATCTCTGAGTAGCCCTGCTTGAGTAGGGGGCTGGACAAGATGGGCTTCACAGGTCCCTGCCAACCTCAGCCAGCCTGTAGTGAAAGGGTAGAGAGAAAGCATGACCAAAGAAATACCATGTCGGTTCACTGTTCGTACATACCATTTCAGAGCAAGAATTCAGGAATGGTGTGTGCTTGTGCATTTCTTGAGCCAAATCCAGTTTATATGGTAAATCATTAAACGCCTAAGCTCAACTATTCAGAGATCTTACCATACTACACTATGAAAATGACCCCTTTCAGGTACACTCATGGACTTATTCTTGTACCTTACTCTAGTGATTAAAAACTTTAATTTTGTTTCACAGGTTTGCCTTTGTCACAATAGATTTCCTCTGTCCTCAGAACTGTAAAGTTTTTTCTGCACACAGTACCAGAGTGTGTTTACAGCCTGCGCAGTAACTAAATTGAATTTTTTTATATACTTTTTCCTTTGGATTGTACTCTGCCATTTTCAAAATGCACTCATAGAACCTGGAGAGACTCAAACTAAAAAAAAAAAAAAAAAAAAAATGGGAAATCACAGAAGAATCACACTCCTTTTTATTCAAACTTCAGGCATATTTAGGCTTCACTGGCACTAGACTGTTTGTCACAACATATAGCCATATGATTACAGTGACCTCAAAAGGAAGACAATTCTGAATTAAAGAAAGATCACCCTTGACTGTTTTAACTACTTTCAGGAAATCTTTGTTTTTAAGGTAAATGGATCTCTATAATGCAGCAGACAGATATGCCAAATAAGCTATTTCTAGCTCTGTTTTATGACTTCCTGTTATTAGCTGAAAAGTGAAAGAGTGAAGGAAATGTTTGTTCTGATTCAATTTTTCCAATCTACTTTTCTACAATCCTAGTCCTGCCTTTGCCATGAAATTTCAGTATGTGCTGACTTTTAACTGTTTGAGGTTTTTTAAACATTAATTACCTAAGTTTCTTCAACATTAAAACTCTTCACAGTCAAATATGTTTGAAAACCTGTAGAATCTGTTCCTATTGCAGCAACTGTAACAACACTAAATTTTTCAGACAGGTTTATTTCTTTGCACACTGAAAGTCAATACAGAAAGTGCAGAAAACAAGCTGGCTTCTGCAGTTAACTACAAACCTAGGGTATTTACTTTGCCTTAGGTAAGTAAGTGTACTAATAGAAATGAATTCCACAGGCCCTGAACATTTTTCATTTGGTTTGTTTGTTACAGACCAGCTATACTCTAGTATACAAGCAACAGGTAAGGCATATATTGCGCCAACACCTTATATCTGTGGAAGATAAACTTTGTGGGACAATAGTTTCTTGCCCCAGGAAAATTAGCAGTGTTTAACAAGCTGCTATAACCATTCCAAGATTAAAATTAGTTAACTTCCAACACCAAACTCTGCATACCGTTTTGTAATCCAGAGTAAAATTTTTCAGAAGATGAACTTACAGACAAGTCCAAACTTTATTTGAAACTACCATTTTGAACAATTTAAAAATTACTAAACAAGTCACAATAAAAATAAAGAAAAGGTTAAGACAGAAAAAAGAACAATGCAGCAAAACTGAATAGAAGATTCAGTTCCAGCTGTTCAAACTGCCACAGGCAGAAGTTAGCATACCTATCCTAAGAGGCAGTGTGTCAGATATTTTACATTTTTATACACTTCCAGAATTCTGGGAAATAAGTGATGATCTTCTGTATGTGTTTGTGTACAAGGAGTTTATAAATGCAGGTATCTTCAAGGTTGTTCTCATCCACTTTGAGCTCCAAAAGTTTCTGTAAAACAAGAGAATGCTCATTATTGTCTAAGAGCTATAAGGCATCAAACTGCTCCTGAACACATTTCTGCTCCTTGTAAGGATCCATTAAATCACCTTGATGAACATCTCATCCTCAACCTTTTTTACAAGCATTTTGAGCCACAGATTACTTGAACAGCTTGTATTGTTTGAAGAATTGGAACTAGTTACGTTAGCAGAAAACTACCATCAGAATACCCAGTTCATGCATTTATATATGTCTGTACTGTACCTTCCACTGGAGAACTACAAGCCTAACAACAGAACATAAGCCTCTAATGCCATAACTTGTGTTACAACATCAACATTAAAAACAAAAACAAAACAGCCCACAAAGGTTTTTTTTGACCTGTATTGCCATTAGGTTGTTGTAGCTGCATAAATGCTGTTTCATGAGAGTGACAAGGTTTTATTGTTGTCATACACACTGAAAATCTTTTCTATCTCATGGTATGCTTCACATTAAAAACTATTTTCATTTCCCTGAAGAGAGATTTTACTATTGAGAAGTCTCTTGAACTCTTCTATTACAAAACCACTGAGCAGTCTGTCAGCAAATTGCATTAAGCATTATTATATCAGATAATAGCTATTAGAATTTACATCATTATTAAACCTCAGCTTGTGTAACAAGGAACAAAAATTCCATAAGTTTTAAAACCATCCTGTTATGTTATTTTTTATGACTATCAGCCACATAATCTAACAGAAGTATGTATACAGAAAGGACACGGAAGCAAAATCCCTTTACTTCAATACATCATTTGAAAATGCACGTAACAAAAAAGGATAGGCTTTCAGCAGCACAATGACTGCTTACTTCCATCAGTGGTAATAAGGTAGTTAAATTCTAGGCCATTCCAGAGTGTTTTCCCAATAGGTGTAGAGGACTTAAAAAATAATCTTTACCAGGTTCTTTCAAAGTTTGGGCATCTCCTACTAATTCTTGATCTTGAGCTCCACCTCCACCCAGTAATTCATCAGACAAACTGTTGGTTTGGGCCTCTGTTGCCACTTTCTTCATTAAATCTGCCTTTGTAAGACAGAAAGCAAAACTCAAAATACTGGATAATTCTTACTGCTCTCTTGATAATTAAGAGTGCTAAATAACAACCCCCCAAACAACAGCAAAATACCTCCGAGTATACTGCAAGTTTAAGGGGCAAGTCTTCAACTTTCACAAAGTCATCTTCATCAGATTTTTGACTTACATTTCCAGAACCAGCTTCCTGTAAATAGAAACGGTGACATTTAAGACTGCTACTCTTAAATAGTGCTACTTCAGTTTACCTTCCCTCAAAAACTAGATTCTTGACTATTATAATAAAGTACACTAAAAACAATACCCATATCAAATTCACAAATCAAAACTGAACATGACTGTAAACTAGACATAACACTGAAATAGAAAAAAGCTTCTAATTTCTCTTGGATGTATCTTAATGGAAATATACGCACATATTCATTCACCAACACAGGTGACTCTGTATCGGGGCTGCCAGCCATGGAGCTTTCAGAACTTGCAGCTGATTTGTTTTCCACGCATGTTGTATCTAGTGTTTGAGTTTCATTTACTGTTAAAGAGGAGCTTGATTCTTCTGTTTTCATGCTGGCTGTTATAAAGGATTCTGGCGTATTGAGTGTTAAAGGTGGTGTATTCTCTAAGTCATTGAGGTAATGAGGCAAAATTGTAGCCACATCTTGTTCACCTAAAACCACAAAACTACATTTTAACTAGGTAGAGACAGGAAAAGATCCTGAGCATACAAAATTCCTGGATCCTTCTATTATGTTTTTTAGATTATGATCCAAAGCTACAAATGAACAACTGAAGTTACCTGTACTCTCATTAAGTATCAGCAATTATCACAAGACAGAATGCAACTTCAAAATATGACTTGATACAGCCTTAAAAATGAAGAAGCAATGAAAAACAACTTCCAGAACTGTATGACCCACTGTAAAATATTCATTCTAGATATGAGGAAATAAATAATAAAGAACAATAAGTTCCTTAACATTTTGCCACATTCTTATGGCAACACAGGATCTACTCAAATACTGCTTTTAGCCTATGGAAAAAGACCAAGAACAAACCAAGTATTTGCAACAGAAGGACACCCAGGAGAAGGTGGTAAAACTGCTGGATTAGAAGTAACATTCATACCACCCCATAGAGCCTTTTGACAGAAAATGATTTCTTAGTTCTTAATCAGTTACAACACAGCATT